CTTCCCTGTGCTGAAAACCTTTGTTCTTTCTTCAAGACCCTGCCCAAATACCAAGTCCTGTCTGCTACCATAGAACTTACTGTATTCTCTATAAGTAATGTGACTCTCTATAAGTAATGTGTTCCTGGTGACTACACTAGGAAGTTTTGCCTGGTTCATCTTTGCTACCCTTTAGTCAATTGCCTTATATAAAGTAGGAGTCAATATTTTTGGATGATTAAATGAATGATTAATTATGTCCAAAATCAGAGTAATTAGACCTACTTTCCAACTTCATTGATAGTCCAGTTTGGTTATAGTAATTAAAAATAAACATTATTCTGATATAAATTCAGCTATATCTGAGGCTAAAATCACCAGACATTACCTAGAGAAGACGTTGTACAGCATGATGAGATCCCTACTGTCTTCTCCTGAACGATTATTCTATGCTTCACCAAAAACCTTAACTGGAACCACTATTTCCTATGTTTCACTTAAATTTTTTTCCTTCATTTTTCCCTAAATGTATTCATTTGTTCAATCATTTATAGATCAAAAGATACTGAGTTTCACTCCTTCTCAGGGCCTTGAGTTAAGCTAAGCAAATTCTCTACCACTTGAGAAAGCCCTCCAGCCCCTTATTGAGCATCTGCTATGCAGCAGATTCCTTGAGTTTATATACCTCCTTTTGTGAGTTAGCTAGAAAACAGTTATTTTCTTCTTTGATGCTTTTCTTTTCTGAGCAGTTACCAGGTTCTCCTGGTACATATAGAAGTACATATGGAAAAGACTGAGTGGATTTTAGTTGACATTAAATTCGAATTGGTCCATATTATGATGTTGAGGTATATTCCTTCTGTGCCTAATTTGTTCAGAGCTTTTTTCATGAAGGGATGTTGAATTTTATGAACATCTTTTTTCTGTATCTTATGAGATAATCATGATTTTTGTCCTTCTTTCTGTTGATGGGTTGTATCATACTTACTGATCTATGTATGTTGAACTATTCTTGCATTCATAGGATGACTCCTACTTGATCATGCTGAATAATCTTTTTAATGTACTTTTAGATTCATTTTGCTAGTATTTTGTTGAAAAGTTTTGCATTTATGATCGTCAAGGGTATTGGCCTATGATTTTTTTTTTTGTAGTGTACTTTTCTGGCTTTGGTATCATACAGGATAATACTGGTTTTGTATAGTGAGTTTTAGAAGAAGTCCTTCCTCTTCAAATTTTTGGAATAGATTAAGAAGAATTGGTATTAGTTCTTTGAATGTTCACTAGAACTCAGCAGTAAGGCTGAACTGTACATTTCCCCAAAGTTCTTTTATTACAGAGAAATTTAAGGAAAAAAATAGCATGTGCTCATTTCAGAAATTCAACAGAGAAGTATATGAAAAATGTGAAAGTCAATCTTAAGTGCCACCTATTGCCCCCTACCCCATTATTCTTGCTCCCTACAGATAATGATTTTTAACAGTTTAGTATGTATCCTTTTAAGATCTGTTTTGGAATAACTCTGTACCTTGTCTCATGATACCCATTTCTTTTAGAGTCCTCCACCCTGGGTTGATGGTGACTTTGTTCAGCATTATCACTTTGTCAGCACTAACAATGAGAAATGTGGATGAGGTTGAGTCAGATGCCCCCTGGCCTGGTAGTTTTCTGTGTAGTGAGAGAGAGATATATACAATAATAATTATAATACAAGATGAAAGAGAAGCAAGGGAAGAATAGATGAGATGATGTGGGACTCATAAGGTAAATAAAATTCATTTGACTGGCCAAGAGGTAATATTTGCACTATACCCTGAAAGATAGATAAGATTTAGATTCGGGGGGGCGGGGGAGACACAAAATGCAGATATACTGGCAGGAGAAAGGCACAGAGATGCAGAGTTTAGAATGGTATTGCATTTTCCTAGACTGTAGCATACATATGTGGGAGTAGCAACAGCTAAATTTGCAGAGTATATGGGAAGACTGAACATCTCTCCACAGTCATTTGGATGAAAAGTTACCATAGTGGGACTTTAGGTCTTAGCAGCTACTATATTCCATCCAATGTAACAATGCATTGATTGTAATATACCCCTTACTTTACATGCCTGTGAGAAAAAACACTGTCAATTAGTTTTAAAACAACTACCAGTTGTAAAATACATCCTGATTTCAGAGAACACAATAGTGAAGAAATGGGCATCAGACAATCAGTGAACTAGGGTCACTGCACTGACACAGAGAAAACCTGGGTATGCAACAAAGAAAGGAAACGTGAAAAAGATGGAACAAAGGAGGATGAGATCAGAGACAAGTGGAGGCCAGACATGGTAGTGCACACCTATTATTCCAGTACTCAAGAGGCAGCAGAAGTGTCATGGTCTAAGGCCAGTCTAGGCAAAAACTGGAGACCCTGTCTGAAAAGCAAACTAAAAATCAAAAGAACTGAAGCATAGCTCAAGTGAGGCCCTAAGTTCAAGCCTCAGTATCAAAAAGGAAAGAAAGACAAAGGTAGAGAAGTTGACCTTAAAAAGGAGACAGTATACATTTTTCTCTGCCACAAGACAAAGAATGGAATAATGATCAAGAGGAGTTTAGAAGTTGAGAAGCTGAAGCATTAATCTAACTAATATTAAATAACATCCATCTTGGTAAAAGCAAAGGCAAAGTCATCTTCAAAAAAAAGTGACAGTGGTGGGTTTGAGAGTTTGGGACTTCAGAGTGAAAAAGTTTCAGGTAAGGCATGAAAGGCAGGATGTGAAAAAATTCACATCAGAAGAATCAAGTGGCCCAGTTCAAATTGGAAAGCAAAGATTTATAAAGAAACCAATTGCCCCTATTTTATGACTTTGTCCAGGAACACTTGGTACCCTGAGAGAAGGATGGAAGGAAAATGGAAGGTGCTTTCTACAGGGTAGGAGATTGCTTTCTACAGGTATGGTAGAAGGGCAGAAAAGCTCAACAATCCAAGGTTCTTCTCAGGGATATTGTTGATTTGCCATGAAGTTCAGGCAAGAAATGAGAGGTGAGGCCAGAGAAGGAGTAATAGATAAAAGCAGTTTTTTTTTCAAGGGGGGGGGGTGGTAAGGGACTAGAGATTATAAAGAAGAAAAGAATTATTTGAAGAGTAGGTAAATAGAATGTTGATTAGGGAAATTCAGAATTTAAGATTGTGTAGGTAGGATTGTGAGCATTGAAGATGAAGATGTGCTCTCTTTCTAAAGCACAGAGGGGAGTATAGCTCCATGTAGTTTGAAAACCTCACAGACTCCCTGAATAAAGGCTTTACTTACTAGAGGGCTCATCACACACACTGACCCATTTCACCTTTCCAGGCTGATATCATTTTCTTGAATGAACACCATGTTCTATACTGGTCAGGATGATCCTCAAGACTTTTATCTACTGTCTTGCCTTTGCACATGCTGTTGTTCCCTTTTGTATGAAATACTGTTCCTCTGCTTCTTGGCATTGCACCCTCCTGCCCATCCTTAAGACTCTACTCAGACAGCACTTGTCTGAGATATCTTTCTAGGCTCCTTCCCACAACACTGAGCATACCACATTACTGTCCACAAATCCTATGGCTTTTTACCACAAGTATTTTTATGTATATGTCTCTTTCCAATAGATTGTGAACTCTTTGAAGTCCAAAACTCTCTGATTCCTTTCTTTACCCACTGTGACAAGCACATGATAGGTATTTAGTATCCTTGTTGAATTTTCAGTGATTGAAGCAACTGGTATATCTTGGATGTTACTGTACATACAGGTCACCTGGCTGTCTCGTCAAAAGTTCAGATTCTGATCTAATAAGTCTGAGATGGGTCTGAGAACCTGCTTTCTAAAGAGCTCCAGGTGATGGCTGTGGTGCTGGTTCATAGACATAATCCAAAGTGGACAGCAGAAGTGGAGCAGAGATGAAGGCCATGGAAAGTGTGGAAATGGAGTACTTGTGAGCATAGTGACTTGGGAAGTTCCTCAGGATGAAGGAATCCATTCTAGAATGGATCCTAGAATCCATTTCTAGGATCAGAGCATGAAAATCCTTTTTTTCTTTTTTTAAGATCATAGATGATAATTCTCGTGAAGGAATGGGTTCAGCAAACCCAATTTTTTAGAGTGCTATTGAACAAAAATAATTCACTATCTGTTTTTTTAAACATGAGAAATATAGGGGCACCTTGGGAGCTGTCCCCCACAACTCTGGGGACTCTACTCTCCCACTTTATACTTTAAAAGAAAAAAATATAAACTAACTAAGCCTCTTCCCCCACAATGAGTAATCAGTATTTTCAACCTGATGTGTGCCCTTCTGGCCTTAATCCATGCAAGCTGGTGCACACATAGACATTTTTTAAATCTATAATGGTATTTTTGCATGCATATTATTCTTCAGATTGTTTTTCCCACTTAAGAATATGTCATAAAACATCTGTCCAGGTCAATGGACAGAGCTCTAATTTAGTTTTTTCCTAGTCATTTTTAAATAGCTTTGTCTAAATATACATGGCCCATAATTTGTTCTGCCATTTTCCTGTTAATGAACAATTGGGTAATTTCCAACTTTTTACTTCCACAAACAGCATGACCCGAAAAAATAGCCCTGTTGTTATCAGAGTATCATGACTTTGTGACTTTACTCAGTCATACATATCAAAAATAACTTGTATATCAATGACATCTTATAATGAAACACAGTGGTGTGTAGTCCTGTGCTGTGCACATAATAGCCACTAATCACATGTTAGCTATTTAAATGCAAGTTAGTTAAAGTTAAAAGTCTGTTCCTTACCTTAGACTCATCTCAAGTGCTCAGGAGCCATATGTGAGTAGTGGTTTATCATATTGAACAGCACCAAAGAGACCATTTGTATCCTACAGAAAATCCTGCTGAAAAACCTGGACTGCACACTTGCATGTTACATCTTAAAGAACGTATTTTATAGTAAGTTGGTGTTTCAATGAGAGGGCATTTTAAAAAGTGAAAAGTATGTCTTTATTGGTTGCCTCTGCAGTTACTTCAATGAGAATCAATACCCAGATGAAGCCAAGAGGGAAGAAATTGCAAATGCTTGCAATGCAGTTATACAAAAGCCAGGTAAGGAGGCAAGCACAGCTCTGCTCTGTGGCATTGCTCCCGGCTGTGTTCAGCATTTAGAACACTAAGTCTCATACGCATTCCAAGCTGGAGCTGTCCGTGTAGCCTACTCTCTCCTGTAGGTCACTGCCCTGTCCCAGCAGCATTTCTCAAAGATATTATGATGGCATCAAAAAGCAAATGGGCATTCACATTGAAGTTTCCACAGAGATTTGAGTACTTGAGTACTTTAATGTATAGATTGCTTTTTTCTAAAAAATTATAATTATACCAATTCCAAAATAGTTTTGAGTTTGAAATAGTTAAGCAAGTTTTGTTAATAAAAAGATCAAATAGATGTTTTTTACAATTTTATAAATTGTGTGATTCTGTATTCCTTTCGGGGAAAAGATTTTTGAAGTTGACTCCTGTCTATTGCCCACATTGGGATGACTTCTGCTTAGCTAGAAAAATTTAGGTAATACTATTTTGAAGTCTTGTTCCTGTGTAAGTCAGCAGAGCCACTTAAATACTTTATATGTATTTTATTTATTTTATTCCATGTGCTTAAATATTATTTCACATTTTATAGACTTTGTTGCTAGAAATCATTCTCAGTTAAGATGATTGATTGATTTCTGTTTGGACATTAAAGACTATATGCAAAACTATCTGTGCTTTATAGTAATGAAATAGTAATTTATTCTCCTATATCTAGAAACCATACTTCTAGCAACATTGACCCTACAAACACCTAAGTGAGAGAAGTCTTTACCCTGTTTCTGCAAGCCCCAGATACAGCTAACACTGTTCAGGAAGTTGAACTGTCCCTGGAAAACACTTTTCTCCCATATCATCAAGACCCTAACAAATCTGTTTGGTTTCTCTACCCACTGTGAATTAAAAGCTGCAAAAGAGAAAAGAACAGGAGAGGAGGGAATGGTACAGGTGGGTCCTCATTGGCAAGGCTGGGGCTCTCCATAGGAAATATCCTTTTACAGCAAAGAAGATAGTAAATCTAAAATGCAACTGGCATGGTACTGTGTATTCCAGTATAGTCACAATAATTGTCACAGTGGCTTTTAGCCTTCAAGAAAACATGTGTCATATCATCTGTGTTATAAGATAAATGGGCTGGTAGCGTGCTCAAGTGGTAGAGCACCCGCTAAGCAAGCATGAGGCCCTGAGTTCAAACCACAGTACCACAGAAAAAAAAATAGTTAACATAAGGTCTTACAGATGTAAGCAAATTTCTGTTACTTGATAAAGAAGAACTTACCTCTCTAGAATGATGCTAATTAAATGAAGCCTACATGGTGATATCATGGGAACTTGGATCCAACACCCTGGTAAAAATTGTAGAATTCTCTAATATTGAATATGGCTTTCTATATTGAAGAATATTGTGTGCTAGTTTTGTTTATTCATTCAGTAATAATTTGGGTGTGTGCACAGTACTAAGTAATGCTTTAAAAAATTCCCCTGCCTCTGTTATTTCAATAAATAGAATCAAAAGCAACTTTTGAAAAACAAGTGTTATCTTTTAAAACTGGCTCATCGTTGGGTCTCAGATGCAAATTATCTGAATTTTATTGCATGCATTCACAGGCAAAAAACTGTCTGATCTGGAACGTGTTACCTCCCTGAAAGTGTATAATTGGTTTGCTAATAGACGGAAGGAGATCAAGAGGAGAGCCAATATCGGTAATGTATCAGAGAGGCTGCTTTCTCTTATAGGAAAGTTACAAGTGTTGTGTTTATTTTAAGAGTAACTTCAGCTTAAGAACTATGCGTCTAAATGATCCTAACTTTTTTGATACTATAAAGAAATTTTATGTTTATAAATTTTAAATTAAACTGTATACCACTTTCAGCAATAAGTGTTCACCTTAAAGTTTAAACTGTAGATATAATTTTGACCAATTAAGTGATATTTGAAATATTAGGCTAAACATTTGAAAACAAACTACTAGTCCTTAATTTATAATTTTGACTTATCAAAAATTTTCCATGAGTGTTTTATGTCCTTAAAATACAATAGTGCTGGAGTTCATTATGCAGCTTTTAAGAAAAAAACTTGGACAGTCCTAGCTGGGAACAGTTCAGGCATTAGTAAAACCTCCAGCGTTGCTTTTCTACTTTATTTGTTCTCAAAATTTGCTTTCATTTTGAGAGAAGTACATCTGCTCATGCTTTCCTTGTTCTTTCATAAATGATCCTAACTTTTAAGTCTAACAAGAGTCACCCTTACGTTTTTCTTCATTTTAAATAATTCAAAGTTAACATTATTTGCACTATTTGTATTATAAGAATGACATTGTTATTTATAAAATTACTTGTTCTTAATGTTCTAGAATATAGACTTAAGTGGTCCCTGAGCGTTTATTACTCCTGCGGCACATGTTAAAAATACTTGTAGGGTCTTGAAAGAAGAATTGAGATACCACAGTTTATTTGTGATTGCTGGGCTGTGACTTAGACATTAGCAAACACCTGATTGATAGAAACAGGATGCGAGAGACTTAAAAGACAAGAATACAGCAAAATACAGGCATTTAAGTCATTGAAATTCTGGATTTAATCACTTCAGAATGTATAAATAGCTCAGTAAATCACATTACATACCATATATATATATATATATAATTTTCATTTGTCAATTATTTCTTGATAAAGCTCAGGGGAAGAAAATGGTGAAACTGCCGGGGGATACGGGCTATCTTTTCAAATACAAAAGGAAGAAATGAAGGATTTTCCCCGCTTCAAAGCCACAACAGAAAAGTAGGAAATTTGAGTTAATGAGATGGGGTAGGGGATTAGTTTTAAGTTTCTAAAACTGCATTTTGAGCTGGGATGTAGCTAAGTAATAAAGAGGCACTGAGTTTGATCCCCAGCACTGCAAAAATAAATAAATAAATAAATAAATAAATAAATAAAATCTCATTTCATTTATAAATATACTTCTTATTCATCATTCCAGTCCTCAGATGCTTTATGGAAATCTAAGGCAGGAGAACTAGTGAATACTTAGCAGATTTTATAGTTAAGGTGGTACAATTTAATGTGCACAGAATGGCAAATGTGTACCTCTCTGAGCTGCACTTGGTTAATTTCATTCATTTGCAGTTTAACAGAAACAAAACATGAGGAATGTAGATTCTTATTTAATTACATTCTAATTTCCTTAACACAAAAGTTGTGTTTCAACCATTATGATAAGGCAACAGATAATTTAGGGATCTATTTGCTTTTTTCGAAGAAGCAGCAATCCTGGAGAGTCATGGGATAGATGTACAGAGTCCAGGAGGCCATTCTAACAGTGATGATGTCGATGGGAATGACTACTCCGAGCAGGTGGGCAGCAGGGCAGCTGGGCTAAGGTTCCTGGTTACTGAGCAGTGGGATGGTTTGACTACTCAAGTCCGTGGGTGTGGTTGTATGGGGTGGGGGAGGGGAAGCAGTCAGTGTCCCTCCACTCTGTCATGTGTCGAGTTAGATTTTCATGTGATTTAAAAGGAATGTGGTAAGATTCAGTTGTCCTGTTGAATTTGTGAGAAATCGCTATTCACCCACACGGATTTATTGTCATACAACAGGATACTTGGCAAGTACGCAATGGGGAGGAGGAGGAGGGAAGAAGTTCAGAGGGAGGCAGAGAAGCAGAGAAGGTAGAAGAAGAGAGGAGGATCTGACCCAAACAAGCAAGTTACACCATTCACCACACGCACTCAGTGTTTGAGAAGTACTAGGGGCAACTGGGCAGCTGTGACCCGTGCCTAAACATATACCAATGCAGGGCACAACGGAAGGCCCCACCCACTCTGGCCCTATTGCAGTGGGAACCCTTGTGCCCAGAGGAGTGCTTCTTCCAGATCTCTGGCACATTGACACACACATCCTCTCATAAGTGCAATACCTGCATGTCTTCTCATCTCATCCTGGTTATTCTGCATTGCTTGGGGGAAAATGTATTTAATTGTAGCCACTGCATGGAATGATGTGGGAGTTCCCCCCACATATGTTAACAGACTTCAGAAAATTTTAATAGGATTTAGGTTTCATTTCCATTTGGAAAATGCAGAGAACATATGGTCCCTTTTCTTAGACCCCAGCAAGAAAATGTTTGCCCTTTCCTGTGGCGGTTTTCCTTGCCTCTCAGCCAGTTCATAAACATAGAATCCATTGTGTTCTTTCACTTTACAGCCTCCTTTTGCCAGCCTGAGCCTAGACATTCCAAGAGTGTTTGATTCTGTGCAGATCCCTAATCTGTGAAAATCAAAATGAAACTGTCATGTCCCAAGGGTTACCTTTTCTTCCATTAGGACTCCAAATCATAGCCCCACCTTTTCCTCAGGAGACTGTTCTGTAAGTCTTTCTAACTGGAAAGAAACATTCCTGTTGCTCTTCAGTTGACCAATATAGATGGATCATTTCCATCTTTTTTTGCAGATGCCCTGAGGGCAGCACATCCCATGCTTTTTTCCCCAAGGGACTTACCCTTTCCAAAGTCCTGTGATAGAGTTTCCCTGAAGATGTGACAGGTGAGAAATGTACCCCTTATTTGTGACTCCGTCTTCAGTGCCTGACATGCATCCTTCACAACTTTATTGTCTAACGTGAGGAGTTTGAAGGGTGGAGAGCTTCACTCTAGCTCTAAATAAGACACCCGTGCTCCCTTCACTCAGCTCTCTCCAGCAGGAGAGTGCCACCCCAGGAAGCAGCACTTCATCTGTAAGATGTCAATGCCTGAAGTTTTAAGTTTTGTCTTGTTTCTTAGTTCACTTGAGAAACACCATGAATTTAATAGCTCACCAGCATAGCCTTCAATGATTAGTGTTGTATCTGTTGCAAACAGTAAGACCCAAATTAATGGTTTTCCATCAATCACTGAAGGTTTGATGACCACCGGCAATATTTTTGATAAAATTAATAAAATTCTCAGAAAAATCATTTTTAGTTCTTTTTTTTTTTTAAGTCATAAAAATGTCACCTGGGTGTCTCTGGACCTATATCCATTCAGTGTCTACTTAAATACAATTCACCTCTATCACAAGATGCTCCTGACCATTTCCTCCATAGATGTTCTGCCTCCCCTTCCCCCTGCATGCCTTTCTGTGACCTAGAGAATTGCACTAACCCCCTGATAACATGCATTTCTTATTTCTGCATATCTAGGATGACAGCACGAGCCATAGTGACCACCAAGACCCCATCTCATTAGCTGTGGAGATGGCAGCAGTCAACCATACTATCTTGGCATTGGCCCGACAAGGAGCCAGCGAAATCAAGACAGAGGCCCTGGATGATGACTGATCAGGGAGGGTTAAATGTGACAAGTTAACTTAGTTTAGACGTAGCACCTTAGCAGACTTTCCTCGGTCCTTAACATGTGTTCTTACAGTATAACTTGCAGTTTCTTGTATGTCAGGTAGCCGTTAGGGTCTTGTTCTGTGAAGATGGCATGGTGCCCTCAGCCTTTGCATATACTCTCTCAGTATTAAATTCCCAGTAAGTAGTAACCAACCAACCAGACTTCCCTCTCCCAAGCCCCTGAGGCTAGAAAATCTTGCTGCTCCGTCTTAGCATTCCAAGAAAGTGCTTCCAGGTATTTAGATAACCCTCAGTTCTCAAATATTAGGCTATGTGTAAAATCTTGGGTACCTTTAGATTCATGTAACACTAGTCTCAACCCCATTTTCCTGCCCCAAGACTGATAGGATGCAAGCTGAGGTAGTGGCACAGGATTGACAGAAACCATTTGGGGAGTATCCATAGAGTGAAAGGAACACTAGAACCCCTTCTCAGCATGAGAATCACTGATTCAGCTGCAATAAGTCGTGCCTCATAGTCACACTGTGGCTAGACTATACTTCTTTGGGTGCTGTGCTATGTCAGTGGAAACTCGATCTCAGATTTTGGTTTATGTTAACATGCCTGACAACAGACATCCTTTCCTCTCACAAGCTGTATGACTTAGTAGATAAAATACTGCCTTCTGACTTTGGGACCATGATTCAAAACAAAAAGACAAAAAACAAGTTATTTAAAAAAAAAAAACCCAGCTTGTGAGCATTGGAAAAAAGTATAAGCTGAATGTCTAAATGGATGCTAAGACCAGTTCTCAGAACCACTGTACATTCCGTGGCACAGTCAGTGCCTGCATGGAAAAGTCCTGGAGTTACCATGGAAGGTGTCTTTGCCTCCTGTCAGTGTCCCCTTTTCCATGCTACCAACAAAAAGTCTGTTAAGAACAGAGCTGAGGTTGAAAATGAGTGAAAGAACAGTCTTTGTACCCATTACCTGAAGCCCCCTCGGAGCTGAGAGAGGACTTTGAGGGGATCCTGCTGACTTATCACTGATGCAAATACTTGCCTAAATAGGAGCAGAAAAAAGCAGGGGACATTTACCACTTACCTTGTGGGTGTGCGGAACACAATGGGATGCGACTGCTTTCTCGTTCTCTTTGCTCTGTCCTTGTAGAGGTGTGAAAAGCTATATTGCTGCAGGCAATTTATTTAATAATTGGAAGCCATATTGATAATGGATGTGGTAATATTTGTAAAGTTTAATCTACTTTAAGCGGCAGTAACTAATGGAATTTTTTTCCTTGATCACATATGTAGCACTTTTGTTACTTTTTAAAGATATTTATATTTGATAAATCTTTTTTTCATTTTGAGAACTCAAAATACCAAACAATGAACTTGCGTTATAAAGTCACCTTGTGATCACCTTGTCATCTAGTAGCGAAATGATGAACTATTCATGCATCAAAGAAAATTACATTCGCTGGCCTTGTATGAAAATGATCTCCTGGCTACCTGATTAAATGATACACTGTCACTGTGGGTAAGAAGAAACAGCCTTCAGTGTAGCAGCATAGTGTGCATCTGAAAGAGGCACCCCGGCTATGCGTTTTCTGCCTCATCTTCGTATGTCTAATGAAGCCTTGTTTAAAGGGGAATGAGGGGCAGGTAGTTGAACAGGGCTTCTGTCTTTCTGTCCATTACCTGAAACGATTTCTAAGATGGAACTAAGGTGCCATTTCTTGTCTTCTTCACCCCTCCCCCACCAAATGTATTCAAGTTTAAAAACTATTCAGAGAGAGAGAGAGACTGACTTACTGACCTTCCTTATTTCCCTTTCTCATTTGCAGAATATTGAATATCTGCCAGTTTCTAGCTGGTCTTACTGCACACACAAGATCACCCCCATAGCTGTGAATCCTGCTTGCGTGAGTGTAAGGAGAAGTCTTTGAGAGGGCATGAGGATGCCACCTTACCTACACGTGTGACTTTGAAGAACCATAGGCAGGGTTTGGTCCTGCTGGTGTCCATGAATTTCATGGGGGGAAATGTATGCATTTTTCCCAGCTTCTAAGAATTGAAGTAAAATGAAGCAGTCTTCTTGGTCTTTCTGTATTACTTGAGTCAACAAATTCAAGAGTAGCATTTGTTATTCTCAGGAATAGCCCCGCCCCCCCCCCACGCACACTCATATTCTTCCTTGGTTTATTTTACTTTTTGTTTTAATTAGGAAATTATATTTCTTTCATGTTATTTTACTTAGAAGAAATACTGTCTTTCCGTTTTGGTGGAATTTTGTCTGCTTATGTGCTCAGTTGAATCAGAAAGAACAAGGAGAGAAAGAAAAAACATTCTCTGAGAAGCCACATCCATGATTTATTGTAAGGAGATTATTATAACTGATAGCTTCTTTATGATTGGATTCTTAGTGTCATTTGTTCTTGCTAGATGTTTTAAAGGAATAGACTCAAACTGTTAAGACAGCTGAAGTCTCTAAAGATATTCTGTAATTGCCACAGAAAAGCTAAAATGTTTGATCATTTTAAGAGCTTTAAGGATGGAAAAGGCCTTGGAGAATATGGGCGACAGCATCGGTGCAGGCCTCATGCTGGTGCTGGACGCGCAGTGTTGTGGTGGAGCTGCGCTGTGCTGAGCTGGGCAGAAAGTGGTGGACTCTCATCCCCAGTCCTTTAGCTGGAGAAGGCTGCTACCCTCCCTTCAGGTCCACAACCTTCCATAGAACTTGTGCTTTTTCACCAACAGTAAGAATTTTCTCTTTGGGGTGAAGATTTAAATCTCTCATTGGCTTTCTGCTGTTAACAGGTTCAATTCTACTATGTTGTCCATAGTAGACCACTTTAATTCTTGTAATGGTGCATGGTGCTGCCATATTTGCTTCTCATCTCTTTGATGGTAAATCTATTCCTTAAGCCTTTTCGGGTTTTAGATGTGGTATTAAAATGGAAACTCTAAAATGCCCTGTTACCAAAAGGAAAAGAGCCAGGCTCTTAAAAGCTCACTTTCTGTGCTTGTTGCTTGCTCTGTCCTTGCTCTCATCTCTTCCTAAACTTCTTCAAGCCCCAGAGATCTCTTTCAGAGGTGGTTCCTCTCTGGTCAAGGAAGACCTTTTTAAGTGTGGGAGTACTCATATAGTTTGTTGTTATTTTGTAAAGATACTTTAATTGAATTACTGTGGCCAGATGATAAGTTTCCTACTCTTCTTCAAATACTTTACATGAGGACTGTTTAAAAAATGGGCCATCCTAAGAGATTTCTGCCTGTCTTAGATACCCCTACCAGTAAAGGAAAGCCAGGAGAGAGCAATACAGTGTACTCTTCTCAGAAGCCTTCTATACCATTCAATACTAAGTAGACATTTTGGTTCATTTCAGCAGAGCTCATCATATTGAATACTCGTTAAGACAGGTTTTTTCACAGGAAGAGGGAACCTGGCACAGGGAGGCAGAGAGCCCCCTTTAAGGTGCCTTTCACCCCAGCTCAATAGAGGTGACCCCTGAGAAGGCAAGTGAGGAAGAAGCTCACTTATGCTAAGGTATGCAAATCCAATGCTCTAGTTCCCAAAAGATTTGTGATTCAGCCACACCCATTTTAGATCCAGAAGTCTAAATATATTTTTACCTCGAAGGGATAGCTCATGAAGAATTCACTGATAAAATCATTTCAGTTATCTGTGTTTGTCCTCCGTCTTTAGGAAATCTTGGTTTTAGAAACTCTCCTTGGATACCAATCATCAGGAACTAAGTGTAATAGACTCTCACTCAGTCAGGAATCTCCTGTCACCACTTTTCCATCTCTGAATAGCTCCTCTTCCATTTTTCTCTATGCTGCACCACTACATCCTCAACTTGAGTTTACTTTTCTGGAATTCTTTCACTTTTGGCAGCAGGCAAAATAGTTGGGTTTGATCCATCTCTGAATACAAACACTCCTTCCTGTGATGACCACCTACACACTCTACTGAGCAGCCCCGTCATCTCTGTCCCACAACAATGAGAATAATCCCCTTGCACAAATGATCATCCACACCTGTCCTAAAAATGTGAACTTTAAGTCTTTACTTTGTCTTTGATCTTAAGAAGGATTTGGTTAGAAGCATTGCTCCCATTTAACACATGCCTCTTGTCTTTTAAAATTGCTTTTCATATTTTGTTCAGAGAGCAACTGTATTATTTGTCTCCCCATGAGTCTCAACAAATTCTTAGGCAATAATTTTTCTTATAGTTGGTGATGGTGTCCTCAGTAGCACTCTTAGCTACATTGAATAGCCCTGACCTCCTACGCTGTGCATGGGTTTCTGTGTTAATCTCTGTGATTTAAACCTTATACCAGAGTGGTGATAGATTTTGTCATTTTGTTGTTGTGGTTATTAGTAATGTTTTACTACTGTATTTATTGGGGCTGCATTGAGACCAGCCAAATCCATTTATAGCTTTACTGAGCCGGATTTATTTGTAAAGATTTCCCAAGTGAAAGTTGGGCACATTGACCAGCTCTACTAGTGGCATCTTTGGGGGGCAGGGTGGGATTTGGGTGAAAGGGATGCACTTGGGCAGAGGTGAGTATTACACATAAGCAACATTCCTTTTTTGTGTGTGTTCTTGAAATTGCAAGAATGTTTACTCAGGATTTGGTGACTAGCCATATTAAATTTGGCAAATTGAGCTGTATGCCCTGAAAACCCTCTTACTCTTTCTTTATGTCCACAGTATCTGACTTACCTTGCCTAGGAAAACCTGAGTTATCCTGTGTAAAGATGGGGCACCATAACGATAGTAGGCAGCTTTCCAGGGGAGGCAACTATGAACGGCTAGCTTATTTCTAAAGATTTCATGGTAACAGGCTGTCAGAGCAGAGGTTCTTTGTGTTTTTTTTCGTATGTGGTCTCCTTCATTATAAACTCTTGTTTCAAAGATGCCTATCACTTAAGGAGAGAGGTTTCCTTACCACTCAAGAGGACTAACATGAAGGCGGTAGAAAAGGCTTTTGAGATACATCACACCAACAGGTCAGAAACCTCTCTCACAAATGAGTTATGTTTAGAAAGACTGTTCTTAATGCCCTTCCTTTGTACTGAAAGTGAGAAGCTACAGGACTGATGGCTGACTCACCTCTCAGAAATGCAGCTTTGTTCATATCTGTGCACCTTCAAAAGCTGGAACTTTGTAAATTGAGATCTTTCCATATCTGTTTCATTATTCTTTCTTGGTGGAGATGAGAAATCCAGCTTCCTGTAATGCTGGTTTTCTTTTGTAATCAAGAGGGGGAGAGATAAAAGAGGAAAGGAGAGAGTGAGGGAACATTTGCTGCACCCCTTCTCATCTCACTGACATAGTGGTTGCTTTAGAATTAGAAATGTGTATATCCTGTACATGTCCCCAAGCTGCTGCTGCTTCTTTTTTTTAATTTATTTAAATCACTGTTGACATCTGAGTAGAACTAAGTCTAGTTGATGTCATTCAAGTGAAATCTGACTAGCATTTTCAAATCACTTGAGAATTTACCATGTGCATTCCCTCCCATTATCTCCTTAAACCCCTCCCTGACAACACACAGAAGAACACAGAAGCAGGAAGGGCTCTCCCGTTATCCTCTGCTGACATCGCTGCTCCATAGCAGGTTTTCAGGTTGGTTTGCCCCCACCTGGGCAGCAGTCCCGCGTGCTCTGTGGTGGAGCACTCAGTGTAGCTTGCGTTGGGCAGCTCAGCGCACTTGAGAAATCCTGGGAGGCCAGTTCCCCTAGCTCCGTGTTCCTTTTCTTTCTCTTTTAAATAAGACTGGCTCTGAACAGCCATAATTAACTCACAAATTCATGTTGGTATGCTGTGATCAAATGAAGGTTTGGCTGAATCTTTTCAAATTGTAACCATGGTAATTGAGGGGGGTGGCATAGGATGAATATATAAAAATATAATGGCAATTGTTCTGAGTGACTGAGTGTCCTCTGACATGTAATTAGCTGTTTTAGCAGGATGTAGATTGGCATGGTCATAATTAAGAGGATTTCTGTCCTTTATGTGATTGAAAATAGCAGAGCTCCCATCCCTTGTTCCCTTTTAGCACTAATGCTCCCAAGAACATTTGGAACAGCAACTCAGTAAACTAAAATTGTGACATGGTATTCATGCTCTCCCTAAGTGAGAGGAAAGGATTTGGAGTTATTCCATCTCCAAAATGAAAGGCTTTGATTATTGCTCGCCATCTGACTTAGAAATTCTTTGAAACCTCTTTCACATCCAGTTTCAACGTGCTCCACCTTGGGCAAAAAACAAAGTCCAAGTCCAAACAGAGGCAGGCACTGATGAGGCCTCCCTAACCCATCGCTCTGAACTAGCAACTTCCATGCCTCGCTGGCCTGGCTTGGCAACATCTGCTGCTCACGAGCTCCTAGGATTTTCAGTCTTTCTTTGTTTACTTGATATTCCTGTTGCCATCACCATCAGAAAGTGTTCACCAAATTCAGGTTTAAGGAGAGTTGAATACCACTTTCCTCATTGGATCACATGGCCCAGAGCAGACAACTTGACAGAAAACATGCGTAAGTGAATGTCACACAGGATTAAGTGGAAGGTGGCACAAGTCACTGGAGCAAAAGGACATGTGCAGTGTGACCCAGCTTTTTCTCAAGTCACTCTTACGTAGCCACTGCCAGCCACCTCCTTTCAGGCACCTTCTCCTACTGTCCCACTGGCTCAGCACTGTTTCCTGGCCCTTCTGAGGCTATGTTCTCTGCCTCCCACTTTCCTCCCTTCTCTTCCTGTACCTGGCCCATTGGACATCATGTGGTCTTGACACCCTCCCTGGATCCCTAACCATGTCCCCTACTCTCATTCTGATATTTCACATTGGACAGGAGTTGCTGAGTCACTCACTAGTCCTTCTCTAGAATATAGTTGGGTTGGGTTTGGTTTGGTTTGGTTTTGACTGGTTTCTCCCTACCCCCAACCCCTGGCTTGCAGGAACCATTATTCAATTACACAATCAAGAGCAAGTCTACAGGAATGACAGTAGCTGACAACGCCAAGTGGCCTTTCACAGACCGCTCCTTGCCCAAGAGTCATGTTCCCACAAGTCCCATCCTTTAGGCTGGACACTCCCAGATTGGTTAATAGCCACTAAGAAAGTACTACCTATGGCTTTTATACATCCATGTGTTGCTGTTTGCTCTTATGTAGATCTTTCCCCTCCTCACTAGAAGGAATTCTAACCTAGCTGGAGTCCAGTTACTCCATTCTTTGGGATTCTTTTATTTTTGTTCCGCTCAAAATGCCTACGATAAAATGTACAGCCATTATGCTGTTGAGGAAGAAGGTCCTGTGAAGGGTTTTTATTCAGTGCTTCTCCTCCTGTAAAAGCCACATTGGTCCTCTCCTTCCCCGACCCTACCTGCACACAATGCATATGTGCAGTCCCCTTGCAGAGATTGTTTACCGTGTCAGTCTTTATGACAATTGATTATAGAATTATAACCCCAAAGAGTAGGGCATCCCTTGTCTTATTTCCCCAGCTGCTGAAAAGTAACTATCTCTATTAGAATGTACAGTCTGGACCAGGGATGTAGCCCAGTGGTAGAGCACTTGCCTTGAATGTAGAATCTGCCTTAAGATTTGAGATTCAGAGGACTGACAGCTAATTTTGTGACTTCTGAGACATACACTAAATGACCAGCAAGACAGTCCAGTTATCTGCTTGTATTCAAAGAAAACAGAAGCAGTGCTGCAGTGAGAGCCTCCCACTGTAATCTGCTGCTGTCATAGGAACCAAGTACCAGCTGTGCTGCCTGCTCTAGAGATGGTGCCGCTGACAGACAGCTGGAGAGACACTGCCCTTCCCAGGTGTCCTTTACCACCAGCAGCCTCCCCCTCAAAGAAAACTCAAAACTCATGAAAATACAGTAATGCTTTCCATGAAATATGTATTTTTTGAAAGAAAACATGAGAAGTAAATTATTCTTATAAAAATCTAAAGATGCTGCTATTCTAAATCATATCACACATGACAAACACAGCCCTCCCATGCATTCATAGCTTAAAATGATAGCAACTGACGTAATGTTGAATGTGTGGTTCTGTGATGAGTGTCACTGCTGCCTCCCTCAGTCCTCCCCTGGTAGTACCATGTTAGCCACCGCAAGCCTGGCAGGTCTCTAACATCTCTTTCATCTCAGTGGGATGCTAAGCAGAGCAGGGACCTGCCCCAGCCCTGCTCTGCTGAAGTCATGGGACACTGATCTGTTTTTTGTTCTCATGGGACAGTACCAGATCATCCCAGTGTGACAGACACACTGTCTCATTGCCATTTTGAGCTGAATTCCTTTCAGCACTGTGCCAGGTGTAGGGAGGCTCTAGACCCCACAGTCTGGCCCTCTACAGCTCCCCTCATCTTCCTTCCTGGACAGTAATGGTGACAGGAATGCAGGGAAGCTCCCAGCTGTGCGGGGGAAGTGGGAAGACTGTGTCCAGTGCTAAGGGAAGAAGAGGGACATAGAGACACCTCATGCTCTGTGCTCTCTATTCAGTTCTCACAGTGCTTCCGTAGTTCCTCATCCTTTGAGACATCCTGCTGTGTTCAGCAGTGTTTCCGGTAAGCCCTCCTGCTTATCCTGCTGTCCCCTCCACCACAGTTGTGATAGCAAGTGGAGTGTTGTGAAAATCGGGCTGTGGTGCTCAGGTATGGTATTAGTGTCGGCTCTGCCCTGGGCCCTCCCTGGCTCCCTGTGCACCTTCACTGGCCCACTGGTAGCAGCTGCATGTAGACAAATTCAGATTTAGGCCCAGCATATTCTTGTATCCAGAATTCAGAGAAGGGGTGAGCTTCCTCAGGGTCTGGCTGGTCCCTGTCCTGACATGACTCGTGTGGCAGGAGTGGTTAACAAGGGAATGGGTTTCAAGTTGATGTGAAGATTTGGCTGACTAAATACCATCCCTACCCACCCCTTTCCTAGCTCTTTTGATCTTTTTAGAAAAAAAGAGGTCCCTGTGACTGTCTTTTCAGATCTCTGTCACATCATCCTTGAGGCCTAAGAGAGGAAAACCACCTAAGGAATAAGGCCACAACTGTGGACTGTTCCCTGTAAGAGAACTTAGTTAGGGTTGGCAGTACATTGTTGTATTAACTGCCTATGGGGTTTTTAATGCCATAGCCCTCACACACACACACACACACACCCGCCAAAAAAAGAACACCTTAATTTGGAGGGAAAAGGATATGTGTGCCTTTCATTTTGGTACTGATGGAGTTTGTGCATGTCTGACGTTGGGCAGTGCCGTGTGCTTGTACCTTCCTAGGAAGGAACAGGGTCGCTCACACTTAGGGCTCGAGGCAGAGGTGAGTCTCAGGACTTGTGTTGCAAGGTTTACGCCTCCCTTTAGGACTTAAAGTTCCCAGCACTTCCAGGTCGACTCTGAAATTCAGCCTTGTTTTATCATTTCCTTTGAGCACAGAAACCTCTCCCGTATTGCTTTATTGGGACAAGGGCCCAGTCACTATAAACTTGAGCAGTACATACTTCCGCTGCATCACTCACTGAAGCTATTAAACTGGAAAGCAAAAGGACATTAGTGCTGTATTAATGTAGACAGCAGCCAATCTGGTGATGGTGACGCTGAGCTCTGTGGGCTGGGTCGGTGCACGCATGAGTACAATGGGTTGAGTGCAGGTGAGGAAGCTCAGTGTGGCTTTTAAGAAGCATTACTGTCCTTTTTCTTGGAGCCACATTCACTGTACTGCAGTCAGTGAACCTGATCCTCGCGCATCTCTGCAAATGAGCATCAAGGAAACAAAACCAAAGCTCTTGAGGGCATGGGTGGAGCATTATCTTTTCAAGCAGTGGCCATTCTGGCCAAGTGCAAGTGTCTCCTTACTGCTCTTTGGTTTTACCAGGACACCACGATGAAGGGCCTCTTCTTTTCTAGTAGTTTCCTTACATTGACCTTGGACAGGCTGCTGTACAGCTTGTACCTCCCGTGGCCCTGCTGCAGCCTTCCATGCCTGTGCTGGTCCAGTTGGCCACTTCAGTGGCCGCAGAGTAGCCACTGCAGTGGCCCCTGTGCCATCATGGACTTCACGGGCTACAAGGTAGGACATTCTCCCTGCCAGAAGATGCCAAGAACATGGCAGTTGCCTCCTCTGGAAGAGCCCACAGCCTTCTCCGACTTCCCCATGGGCTCGCCTTCCCTTCCACAGCCGTGGTCATGTTGGGTATGCAGTACCTTTCCAGGACAAACTTTTATTTATGTTTTAAGTGCCTACGCAAGTTACAGATCTCTGGAACTTACCAGAGGGTCGGCCTGTGCCCTGTCCTTCCCACTCTGCACCTGCCCTTCGGGTGGGCATCGTGTGGCCACCCCTCCCCAGCATCCTTGCCGTTCTGCAGGCAGAATGGCCGCAAGGCAAACGAGGGGGAGAGAGCTCTCTTTGGCCATGTCAGGCTGACTTTATCCCTGTTTCCTGTGTTTCTTTTGTTGATGTGCTTACGGTCTTAGTTCATAGGGAATTTTAAGGAGTCTGCTTAGCTAGATTGCAGTGGCTTACTGAGTGAAGACGGCAGGAGAGCAAGACAGCCTCAGAGTGGAATTCCACCTCTGTCTGTTAGCACTTGGACCGTGCATCCAGACCAGAGGGCAAAGCGTGACGTAATTGCAATTGATAAACCTGCAGGCTCATTTACCATCGTGAGTACCGAAGCCTTGGCCTCCTTGTCCTCTTGTCCTAGATTGCAGGGAGCAGGGTGCCTGCTCACAAGGCCATCATCAGTAAGGTGTTAAGCAAGATCCAACGTGCGTCTTTGAAAGCGAGTGTGAGATTGTTTGTTTGCTTTTTAAAAGTAAGTCTGATCTAGATTCGGGGCCTTTCTTACATGGTGGGTGTAGGACAGATTATTTTGTGACTGTGCTGTGTTCAGATCACATCACTAAATAGCACATAGATGATTTGTGGGTGCAGTAAAGGTTTTGCAAATGGAACAATCCACACCCAGGCACTTTATCTCCATTAGTAGTCTAGCATTTTTGTTCAGACAATGTAGTAATCCACACACTGGGCACTCACATGTGACACGTGTGGGCGAGTTTACTGGTGGAATTCTGCCTCAGATAGCAAAGGCAAAGGTGGTAGGTAAGGGTGATCAGATGGTGGTGATGAAAATGAGGCTGTCTGGAGTGTGTAAACCACACCAGGGCTTGGGCAGCACCATCACCCAGTCCTCTAGATGCTGTCTGTGTTCACAGGGCTGCCAAGCGCTGGCCAGTCCCCGGTGTAACTGGGCAGAGAACGTGAACCAAGCACAGGAGCTAGAGGGGATGGCTGTGAGTGTGAGGAGAGGCAGCAGGAAGGGCCTGGCTTCTCTTTCCTTTACTGGACTGGAGCACTCCAGCAGGAGTGGAGTGCTGAGAAAGACGCCCATTTCTGGACAACCTGCATCTTGTTTCACTGTTGGTTGTGGGATAGGAACAAGCTGGCACAGCAAGTTACAAGCAAAAAGCAAGTAAATGGTCTTGATCTGAGCAAGTACCGTGGACCAGATGCCTTGGGATTGCCTGTAAGTGCTTAGCATCCACCAAATAGTTGAGTGTCTAGGATGGGCTGTTGTGGGGCCCTGCCAGATGCGTGGGAGCAGCGTGCGCTCCCTGCCTTGGCTGTTGTGTCTTAGTCTTTGTGTTTCCCTTTGGCGTCTCCTCTGGTCTCTGTCCCCATCTTGTGCACCATGTGTCCCTGAGGGTGAGTCACCTGTGTCTGAGTCTGCTGTACGGTGTTCAGTCTACCTCAAGGGGTCATCATGGTAAGCTCTGTCCACGCGGAATCCTCCTCACAATGCCACACACTGGAATGTATATTGCACCCCCACAACCTCCTGACCCCATCCTTCCTGTAATCACCACAGACTCCTAGTGCAAATTGGATGCTGCTTTAAATGTGAAAACAATTGTTCAAAAGCTATAAAACCTGAATGAAAGCTAAAGCTGAATTTATAAGCCTTGTTGCATATGAGCCAAAAGTGCAAAAAGCTCTATATAATGAACTAACCTGCCACTCGTATAAATATAAATATATATAAATATATTAAATCAGACTGTTCTACAAAATTGTGTATTTGTATTTTTGTGTACGTACAATTTTCTGCTAAGCAGAAGGAGGATGTAGTATAGGATGCTGTGAGAAGAGATTTGATTTAATCCTATTTCTTTGTTACTTATTTTTGTTAACATCAGATGCCTGTCTTTGTCTTCTCTGTGTACGACACTGTTTGGAAAGCTGCAGTATCCCTCTTCCTTACAGCCAAATCCAGGAGAAAGTAAGACTGGGGCTCAGAGAGGTGTTTTGGCCGCCCAGCAGAGTGAGGTGAACACAGCTTGCGTCCCGAGGCACCCTGTGGTGGGACCCAGGGCCACCCCTGCTCCTGAGACAGCGCCAAGGGAGGGAGGCCTCCTGCACTTCAGGCCCAAGTGGCACTCTCTGGCTTGCCTCTGGAGAGCAAAACCCCTTCTAGCAATTCCTTAACACAAGATTATCATATCCCTCTCATATAAAACCTCCACTGGGTCCACCAGGGAGTGACACAGGAGATCACCGAAGCTAGAAACAGGGCCTCTAACTTGAGGGCCATCAGTTTGTCCAGGCAGCTCTGCCTGGCACAGCGCCACAGCCCACTGGCCATCATTAGGCTGGCTCCCCCTTTCCAAGTAGTTGCTGCCTTTTCAAACCGGGTTCCCAAATGCCCCCCCCTCTCAGAGCTGCTGATGCTTCACCAGACCTCCACCTGTTATCTGGAGCATCTCAGAACCCATTTTGCCGGTGCTAAACACAGAGGGGTTACAGTGGCTCTAGTAATGGCTAGCAGCAACCCACTAGAGGCCAGGCCAAGACAAGCCCCAGGTGCCCGCCGGTGCCGCCACCCCAGCTTCATCCTGGCCCTCGGAACCTGCTCTAGGGAGAGCGATACTGCACCTTCGCTGTAGGACTCGGATTATAACAATGTGTAATGACTGTAGCAAGAAGCCCTTGTTTCTGGATGTAAATGGCCAAAGAAACAAGTGCTGTATTGTATTGATTAAAATAGTTCCAATGAGTCCTGTATCATTGTATCTCCTATTCTGGATTAGTGCCTTTTGGACAGTAGACTGTTCTGTAATTAAAATGTAGTATACTGCTTTTTTGTACAGTTTTGTTTTAATAAAACTTTTTTTTAATTTGTGTTTATTTTAGTATTGTACCTATTAGAGAATAAAATGTATAACTGAACAAAGGCTGGCGGGGTTTCTTTGGGTAGAATGATCATTTGGGAAGAGTCTGGCAGTGCTGAGGGGTACAAGATTCTGTTCTGAGCACTGGTCTCTGTGCTTTTCCTTTTCTCTCTCTCTTAAACAGTGCTGGGAACAGAACCCAGGGCCTTGTGTCACTTTGCCACTGAGCTACACACGCAGCCCTGCTTTGTGCTCTTCAGGAGGGTTGGGGAGCCAGGAGATGCTTGAAAAGGGTCACAGCACCCAACACTGCCTGGCTGAGGGGCTGTGAGGCCGGAAAGTCCCAGCTGGGCACTTCCTGACAGACACTCCGACCGTGCTGCACATGGTCACCCTAGTGCTCTTTCAAGGGTTCCTGAGCTGTCCCCCAATGCGGCAGGAGCTGGCCCAGCTTGCTGTCTTCACCCTGCACACTCCCAGGGTCACAGCCTTCCTTCCTGTGCTGGCGCAGCATAATTGCCCCTTCGTTTCCGACTTCATTCTCCATTTCCCACTCCAAGCTACACCACAAGCCTCTCTTTCTTAAAGGAGCTTTCTCCCCTGGGACTTGACCTTGAGCAGCAAAAATAAAAAAGCTGAAGCTTTGCTATTTGGCTTTCTTTAAAGGCTTCCAGTGGTCAGCACCAAGTGAACTGAGCAGACTGGAGGTCCACATGCCAGCTTCCCTCCATACAATGGAATCCACTGACTTCCCTCTGCAGAGAAATCCCGAGACGGGGCTTCTCAGAATACATAATTTAAAAGATTGCAACATTTAAAGTTGCGCAAACCCTGCTAAGTTGGTAAAGACGAACAGGAGGTGGGGCAGCGGCCAAAACAGGACGGCCCCACCTGGTGTTCCCGCATGATTTGGCCCCAAACTGCTCTTAAGCAGCAACTCGAGTCCTTCAGTCCCACAGCCGCCTGCATGTACCCACGTGCTGCAGGCCTGGCATCTCCACCGGCCACCCTTCCCCTCGGTGCAGGTCCCAGAGCCTTCCTGGCCCCCTCAGCTCCAATGCCTGGCTGCTGTGGTCCCCGGCAGGATGGCTTATTTCCATTGGACTAACAGGTTCACACAGCCAGGCCCAGGATAGGTACAAATGCCCAAGTGACCGAATGAACTCAATGCAACATCCACAAGAGCCCACTCCGGGGTCTGAGCAACTGTGAAAAAACCCGAGAGTCTGGTTTGGAAAAGGCATCTCATTGAGTTGCTAGAAAGCAGCAGCCTGAAAAAATAAAATTTATCCTCAGAGCTACACCGATTCCATCCTGGTTCCTACCTCATTCAGCACAGCCACTCCCGGCTGACTTGGCAGTGCTCATCTCTTAAGAACAACTCTTGCGCACTTGTGACTATAAACAAGTCCAGCTCAGAGGCATACCAGCTGATGGCCTCCAGGTGGCCACGGCCCTACATTCACAAGGACATTTTATGAGACGAGCAGACTGATGCACCTGCACAGTCAGATCAAGGCTGTGTCTTGGCAGTGGTGCTGGGCTACCAGGGAACTCCACAGGCACAAAGGGGCTTGCTCTCCTCCCCCAGCTCAAAGGCCAGACCCACACTGGGTGCAAAGCTGGTGGATGTCTGAAGAGGTTGGCCTCACCAGCAAGCAGGCCCGACAAAACTAACGTCAAATCTCATGGCCCACCAGGACTGGACCTGACCCTGTAAGCTAGCCACAGCCATAAGCCAACCCAAAATACCTTATTCCAAAACCTTCTAGGTTCTCACTACCTCTATAACAGCAGAAAGAAGTCCTCTGCTCTCCAGTTCAGCCCCGAGCTCACTAGAGCACCACCAGAGAACTGGAGATGCCGCCACCTATCCCAAAGGTCCCATTACTTCTGGTGTAAGGCCCTTTAAAAATTCCTGTTGGCTCCTGGCTTCTAGAAGGGCCTGATCCAAGTGAGGGGCAGGAGAGGCGCGAAGGTGCCAGTGGGTCTTCCCTGGGTTCTTTGGTCTAAACCCTGAATAGCAACTTGTGTGCTGGGGAGATGACACCTTGGGGCCTGCTGCCATTCTCCAAACCTCCCCCAATAGTCTCCATGTGGAAAAGCCCCACCACCACTGGGCACAAAGCCACAGCCAGGGAACAGCCTGCAATGCCCCCAAGCTGTGCCTGGGTGAGGGAAGGTGCAGCAACAATCAGGTGTAGGCAAGAAATCGTCTGGTTTTATTTCTAAGCAGTTGGTCAACTGATGGAAAAGATATAATACAAAATTACAGTGGTTTAGTTCATCGCACATAGAAATAATCAGTCTTTACAATTCATTATAGAGCCTTTGGATTTTTTAAACTTGCATTTGATGTGTACCAAGTCACTATAACCCTGGAATCAAAGTCACTTTTTCTCTGTAAATCCATCATATTTACACAACTCATCCATAGAGAAGCAGCTGTCCCCGGGCTCTCCCAGCACGGTGAGCACCGTCCACAGCCCTGGGTGAAGCGCATGGACTCTGAGAAAGATGCTTTGGGTCCAGTGTCTTGGGCTTGGAGCGTAAGCCACTTCCAGGCCCCAGGGAAGGCACTACAGATGGCCAGGTGGCCTCAGTGCCTCCATCTGAAGCAGCCTGGAGCTGATGGCGCTGGGAGCCTGGAAACGCCCTCCACCCACAGCTCACAGCACAGGCAGCCTTGGCAGGCAGGCAGGCACTCTAAGCCAGGAAGTGCAATCCCATTTCACATACAGGAACTCTGCAGCTCCTAACACCTTCTAAGCCTTTCTGCCTCTTCAGGGGTTGAGGTCATGCTCAATTCTCTCACGGAACACAGGCCCAGAAAACCCTCCCCTCTCCCTCGGCCTTCCCACTCTCTCTGGACATCTGGGACCCTGGCTACACACCTACATCTATCCCTCCACTACCTGACACGTTAGCAACCACATCCACTGCAGTGTCGCCACTTTTCCAGCCCAAAGTTAGTGTTAAGTCTGTGCTAAAGAAAGAATAAAGAAGTCAGGCCGGAGCTGCTTCCTCCAAATGTACCCTGCTGGTCATCTAGTGGGGAGGAGGAGCTGGTGTCCCTCGCGAGTGCCCAAGAAGGCCTCTGGGTGGCAGCAGCAAGACCGCAGGCATCCTGCAGTGAGTACATGGCTCAGTGTCCCCCAGCCCCTCCGAGGCTCTGGCATCCTGCAGAGAAACCATGGTGCTGGTCCCTGTGCCAGTGGACAGTGTGGATACCCACCCAGATGCAAACAGAACTAACGTGCTGGGCAGGAGGGGAAGTGGGAGGGCCAGGAACCAAAAGCACTAATTCCGGGGTGCAAAGCAAGCTGTCTCAGGACAGGAAGGAGGCAGGGCTCTCCCTGGCAGATTCCACCAGCCCAGCCCTGGTACCTGGCTGCCGCAACTTGGCTGACGTCCTGTGCAGATGCAGGACGGACACTGAACCCCTTGCCAAGAGGTCCACCGTCTTTATGGTGCCCCCGCCTGGATCAAGGCCGGACAAGCAGAGCATGGTACAGCACACAGGGCTAATCAAACCCCTCAGGCCATCCCAGTCTCTGGTGCTATGTGCCAGTCATGCTGAGGCTGAGAGAGCAGGGACCAGGGAGGCCTTCATGTCTGAGAGCTGCCAGGCAGGTGGCCCCATCTAGAGTCAGCCCAGTACAACGTCTTCTAAGGGCCCCAAGCCCTCAACGAAAGCTTGCTAGATGTTAAAAGCTTAAATGCAAAACTAGAAATGGGCTACCAACAGTGCGGGGTGCAAATTCTGACCTGGGGCTTTTCCTCAGCTGGGGAGCAGTGGGCCACCTGGGGCTGCACGTGTAGTCAAATTGGGGTGTGAGCTGTGCAGGGCCCTTGGCCAACCCTCCCCACCATCACGGACCCCACTCAGGCCAGACCGCCACAAAGGCTGTGGACCAGAAGTGCCTCCAGAAGTAGGTGGGCAGAGCCCACTGAACATGGCTGCCCCGAGAGTCGAAGGAGAAAAACCGGGACCAGCTCTCCACAGGCTGGCATCCCCAGGGGCAGTCAGGACTTGGGAACTGCCACCAAGTTAAAATGATCTAAGGACAGCCCCAGAAACCACAATTGCACCAAGTAAGAGAAATGGGTCTAGCTCACTTTGTCATGGCCCCTTTCTCCTAGTGACGGGCCACTGTGTGTCTGAATCTACTGTCACAGGAGGGCTTCCACCCTGGGCAGGAGGCTGGTAGCTCCCAGACAGCTGGCCTGTGGGCAAGGCAGACCCCACCACGCAGCACGCCGGACAGATGATGATTGTGGCTCGCAAATGAGTTCAGCTTTTGAAAAAATAAATATCAATAAATATATCCCAAGCATCCTGAGGGAGTAATGGCGACAGAAAGACGCTGAGACACCCAGAAGGCACCTCCCAGAAACCCCATGAGCCGTGGGGCCGGCAAGGGGCTCTGCCATAGGCACTTAAGGGAACTTGTCACTTTGTGTGGGAGGCTGGGGACAAGCTGGCAGCCCAGCAGAGGGAGGTCGCTCTGCTGGGGGAGGAAAGGCACTAGTTAGGCTTATGGTTTAAATTAAGACATTAATGGGGTCGGAACAATAGAGAGAAGGGGAGTGCAACAAAATCTCCAGGTAGGACACCCTGGCACAGACAGGCAGAGAGGTGGCCTGGCCCAGGCTATGTCACCCTGCACCTCAGCCCACAGTCCTTCGACCCATCTGGGCTCCCAGAACCTTCCACCCCTAACTGAGGGGGCCTCCTCCCTCACTGAGTAGAGAAAGAAATAGTTGCAGAGTCGCAGGGAGGATAGGGAACTGGTGGTCACCAGTTCGGCGTCGTGCAAAAGGCATTCATGGCGTCCCGCGGGCATCCCGAGGCGCCCGGCTTCCTGGCGGTGTCCACCAGAGCGCGGCTCAGGGCCCAAGACTTCCGGTTCTCAGGGTTCTTGTGGCTTCTGTCCACCTTGGCCAGAGCAGCCGTCAGCGAGGCCAGGTTGGTGGCAGAGCCCGAGAGCGTGGCGCTCCGGCGGGTCTCGGGGGCGCCCTGCGGCCGGAGCCCCGCGCTGCGCCTACGCCCCGCACCTGCAGCCCTGCGCACCCTGCCGGCCGCACCAGCAGCCCGTAGCCCGGGTTGCACTGGAAGTACTGCTTGCCGCCGATGGAGCCGTCGTTCTTTCCTGCAAAGGAAGGAGGCAGCGTCAAGGGAGGCTGTTCCATGCTACACACACTGCCACTTCCCTCGCTGTGGCCCTCAGACTGCTACCTCCGTGCCACCACCAGAGCAGGCCCTTCAAGGTGGTTCACAGACTTCCATGGTCCAGGAGGGACCAGCTGGATGGATGAGTGCACTAGGTGGCCACCTCCGAGAACAGCAAGCAGTGGTCACCAGTGACAGAGAGTCCCTCAGTCCTGTGGTCAGGCATGCTCAGCCACAGGTGCAGAGACCCCAACCCCAATGGCCTGCCTTCCCCGTCTCCTTCCAGCCTTGCTTCCCTGAATGTTATCAAGATATTCCCTGAAGCCACGCTCCCTTTGTCTCCTTAGCACATCGTGTTCTTCACAGCATGGCACTTACACTCTCACAATTTTACCTATTTATTTGCTTAGTAATTTTCTCCCCATTAAAATAAAAGTCCAGTGAAGCCAGAGACTTTGTTTTGCTCAGCCAGGTATCTTTCAAATCTAGAATAGTAACAGGAACATAGTATGTGCTTAGTTATTTCTTGTTGGATGAATTATTTGCTAATCCCCCTCTAACTTTTTGGTTTTTTGAGTCTACGCTGGCCTCAAACTTGTGATCTTACTGCCTCAGTCTCCCAAGTGTGCCACAGGCGTGCCCCTTTAATTCTCAAGTTCAACTGCAGACACAAACTTCTTTCTGAAGTTTCCTTCGCACCTCAGGAGAAATGGATTAAAAAGTTTCTCCAGCCTGTGCTAGCGCTACTTTAATCGTCTAGACCCACTTCCAATTTAAGCTCTTCCCTGCCAAAGTATTTCCAAAGACAGTGAGTAACTTCACGGCACAGCACACCTGCAGCCAGGAATGGGCCTGTGCAGCTCCAGGCTGGCTGCAGGCCCTAAGGCTCTGTGCTGGGCCCTGAGAGAAGTCCACTGCAAAATGCCTGCTCCATCCCACCAAGTCACTGGGGCTGATGGCAGAGCATCCAGAGACAGTGACTGAGGGAGCCGTCTCTCTCATGTGGTGGAGTCTGAGCACAGCCACTTCTCAAAGACAGGTGGGCTGCATGGCTCAGACCTCAGCAGTGTTCCTGCTGTGTCCTGACTCTGGGTTCCATACAGTTCTGCCCTCTTACCCTGCTCAGACAAGGGAAGTGCCTCACTGCTCCAGCTCCAGTTCCCCACCCTTCCACAGCCACCCTGTCAGGCCCCAGGCAGACTCTGAAGACCTGAAGAAGCCTCCTTCAGGTCTCTAACTTTGCTGTCAGGAAGGTAAATGATGCAGCCACTTTGGAACCAGTCTGGCAATCCTCGAAATGTTAAAAAACTGAGCAACTCCTGGATAGCCACACAATAGACTGAACGTGTCACTTTCCCCACGAATATTCACAGCAGCACTCTGCAGAAGAACCAGAGTGGAGCCCACACACATGTCCAAACAGTGGGCATCATCAGCCACAAACAGGAAGGAGTTGCTGGGAATACTTCTACACAGAGGGACAATAACCACCTCATGTTGGGAAAGAGGCCAGACACAGAAGTCTACCTACTGCATGGTTCCCTCTACATGAAAGTCCAGACAACAGGCCAGGCACTGATGGCTCACACCTGTAATCCTCATAACTCAGAAGACTGAGATCAGAAGGATCACGGTTCAAAGCCAGCCCGAGCAAATAGTTCATGAGACCCTATCTTGAAAACATCCATCACAAAAAAAGGGCTGGTAGAGTGGCTCAAGGGGAAGGACCTGAGTTCAAGCCCTAGTACCACAAAAATAAAAAAATAAATAAAAGTTCAGATGACAGCTTTTCAATATAAATTTAGAACAGAAAGATTAGTGGTTGCCCAGGGCTAGGAGAGAGGTACAGATGCTAACAGACTGAGATGTCTCTCTGGGGTGATGAGTGTGTTCTAAATTTAGATTACAGTGACAGTGACACAACTCATTAAATAGGCTCCAAATCATTGAATTGTACACTTTACATGGGCAAAGTCCACAGCATAAAAATTACTGCCCAATAGAGATGTTTAAAACAGCATGGAAGAAACTTCTGAAGGACAAAGTGTTTCCTTAAGTCTGACCCCTATTTTTCTAATCATTTCTGAGATTCGTCAGTCTGGCAAGGGACTCCAGGGCCTGTGAAGGATCTCATGTCACCACATCTAGAGGTCCCAAACCCTGGACAGCCAGAGAAGGTTTAGGTACAGCAGAGAGAGAACAAGGGCACATGTACCATGCTTCTACCTGAGGCAGAGGTACTATTCTGTTTCAAACGCCATATTAAAAAGTACATTTAAAACTGGGCACAGCCCAGAGCACGCCTGTAATCTTAGTTACTCAGGAGGTAGAGATCAGGAAGATCCCAGTTCCAAGTCAGCCCAGGTAAATAGTTCAAGAGACCCTATCTGGAAAATACCCAACACAAAAATGGGTTAACCGGTGGAGTGGCTCAAGTGGTAGAGTGCCTGCTTAGCAAGTGTGAGGTCCTGAGTTCAAACCCAGGTACCACAAAAAAAAAAAAAAAAAAAAAAGCTGGGCATGGGGCATGGCGGTGTGGACCTGTAGTCCAGGCTCCTAGAGTGCCTGAGACAGGATGCTCACTGTGGCCCAAGGGTTTGAAACCAGCAGCCATGGCAACATAAAGGAGACCTCAGCTCTACCCCAAAGAAAGTACATTTAAAACCATTTCCAGCTTCAGAGGAGTTTTAAGTGACTCAGGTTTCTAAGAAATTTCAAAAGGTTAAGGAAACTTTTTTTTTTTTTTGTGGTACTGGGGTTTGAACTCAGGGCCCTACCACTTGAGTCACTCCACCAGTCCTTTTCTGTGAAGGGTTTTTTCGAGATATGGTCTCTCTATTTGCCAGGGCTGGCTTTGAACCGCGATCCTCCTGATCACTGCCTCCTGAGTAGCTAGGATTATAGGCCTGCGCCACCGGTGCCGGCTAGGAAACTTTTTAAGAAAGAGTTAATGTATGGATTAGGAAATTCTTATCTAGGGAACATTCCTAAGTGTGAAAGCAGGAGGCTCACGGCAGTTGTGGGGGACCCCACTGCCCACTCACCTGAAGGCAGGTCCAGCTCCACGCCGACCCACGTGCCCTCCTGGAAGTCGGTGGGCCCAATGTACCTCACGGTGCCCATCTTGTTGGTGCCCACAACCACGTACTCCCCTTCTTTGAGCCACTCGGGGACTTCACTGGTGTCCTCGGAGTCAGAGGCGTGTCCGGTTTTCCTAGGACCTGTGTCCCTGTGTCACTGGCCCCTTCTGCGGCCAGCAGATCCTCCTCGGCCCCGCCACCCAGCATGCGCGTGAAGGACTTCAGCTCCGAGGTCCGCACCCTCTGAATTCGGAATGGGGAGGCAGGCGCCGGAGCGGGGGTCGCCCGGGCCTCGGGCTCCCCGCAGGGCTGCAGGTGCGTGTGGGGCGGGGCAGGCAGCTCGGCAGACTGGGCGGCGGGGCCCAGAGCAGGCGGCGGCGAGGCAGGCGACTGGCTTAGGGCTGCGTCTAGGCCGAGGCCGAGCGCGTCCGACAGGGTGGCGGTGGAGACGCTGTGGGAGAAGTAGCCGCTGGAGGCCTCGCTCAGGGGGCTGGGGGGCCCGTCCTGGCCCTCCGGGGCCTGGGTGACGGCCGCGGCGGACCGCGGGGAAGGCGCCTTGGCGGCCTTGTCACAGATCGCAGAGGAGGCAGCAGTCTGCACCAGGGCCTCCGGGGCCAAGCCGAGTCGCGGGCTTCCTCGCTGGGCCTGGATGGGGAGAGGGAGGGAGACACAACCGAGATGGCAGGTCAGGCATTCCTGCCCCACAGAAGCCAGTGCCAGGGAGCCCATTTCTGGACACTGCAGCTTGGGCATGGCAAGGCCTGGTTTGGGGTAGGTACACCAGGGCCTCTGTGTGCTAAGCCGCTGAGCAAACTGGCACAGGCCCTGCCTCTTCCACTTGCCTCTTATGTAAAGAGAGATGCTGATCCCTTCCATCTAGGGCCAGGTGGTACACAGGGGACAACAGCCCTAGGTGGAGGGTGCAAGCAGCAGATGCACACCAGACCCCATGTCCACATGGTAACTGTCCCCTGGGGACATTCTCCGCCCAAAGAAGCCAGAAGAGCACTTCCTTCCCCTCCCTCCACCCCCCAAGTCCAAAGGATGCTATCACCCAAGATCCCAAAGCACTTTAGCAGTGCAGGCATCCTGAGGAACTGACCCAGGCTATGCCTGGTTTGCTCCTGGGAGTCAGGGACACGGAAGGTGACATAGGCTGCCTGTGGTCATGGCCCTCTGAGAGGTTTTCATTTCTGGTTGCTGTGGAAGGGGTGCCACATCAGGGAGGGCTGGGAGTCTCTGTCTTGGGCCACACAGGCCAGGAGGAGTGAGTGAAGACCTAGACAGTGGTGGCTGGCCTGGCCTGTCTGATATGTCACTCAGTCTGAGTCACCAGGCAGAGGACACTCACAAAGCCAACATCTCACAGGATGATGACAGTCACCACTTGTCCAAATCCCAGTGTTTGAGGGAGACCACTTCTCTTCCCACTCCCTAGCCAAGGTGTTGGGGAAAGAGAAGGCGCAAATGGGGGATGAAGTAGAGAAAAAGAAATGTTTCTCACTATTTATGGAAAAATGATTTATATTACAGGAATGATCATTTTCCATTTGAGATACAGGATTTATTTGAACTGGGAAAACAGCTGAGATCTATAAGTCTCTTACAGTTACTTGGCTTAACTCCGCAGTCTGATAAATCACACATTTTCTCGTGAATTGTCATTTATATTCCTGTTTCCAGAGGCCTTCTTCCCCTACAAGACACACTTTCAGGGGATGAAATTAACGGCACCTCTTGAGATTAACAGCCCATTTTTGTGATGGATATCTGGGCTGCAAAATTTACTCAATCCAACAGATCAATAACCGTCAGCAGCATAAATACTCTAAAAGATTAGGCAGTCCTTCAATCATTTTTCCTTTGCTACTTGTACATGTTTTATTTATTCTTTGCTATTTTAGTTTTAAAACAACTGGCCATGTGGAAAGAACGCACTAACAAAAGCTAACAGAGGCAAGAATCTGCACAGCAATGATAGCCTTGAAATCAGCTCACCAGGTAAGGTCCAGCCATCACCAGTTCCACCCCTGGCTACTTAGGCCAGGAGAAGAGATCTGGAGGTGTGGTCCCGAGACTCTACCTTAAATCTTCACATACTAAATGGTGGCCCATGAACCAATGGTGGAGGGCAAACAGGATGCATCAGCACATTCATTTTACAATGGGGCTCAGAGAGGGAGCCAGCTGTGCAATAAGGACAGACCAAAGATGGCAGAAGCACAAACTGCTGCAGCCTCCAACCCTGCAGAGCCAGCCTGCAGGAACTACTCCGCATTGACTGGAATAAATGTGTCAGTTGAAACCTAGTTTCCATCTTTGGGTTTTATACCCTTACCTTCAAGAGAGAGATTTCCAGAGACTTCTATGGAAGCCCAGACTCAAGGAGGTCACCAGGATGAGCTGCAGGCCTGGAATACAGGTGTCCTTGCTCAGAAGGACCCTGCTCCAAGTGCCTCAGGCTGGGTGCTCAATCCAGCCTCTGCAAAGAGAGACAGGCTCCCTCCATGAGGAAGCTCGGGAACTCTGGGAGACACGGAGTGAAAGGGCCTTTTAGGAGCGAGGGAGTACCTGGAGATGTGAACTTTCCTTCAAATTACTGGGCACTTTTGCTGTTGTTTTAATAAATAAAATTTCCCTATGAAAATATGGCATTTCCTAAGAGAATGAAGGCACAGTGGGAGAAAACAGACATGCTATTCATGAGATGAGAAGTGCTTTTGACCTGTGGGAGATAATAAGAGACTATTTTCTCCCAGCTTAGCATTAGTCTTTTCACGCTGATATCATGAATCAGAATGAAATGTAAAACCGAGAATTAAGCAAACACTTAGAACAAGGAGATTGTTCTGTTTATAGAAATCCCCTCCGCCTAGCAGTGGGCTATTAAAGCACAGACTACATTAGTAGTCAAGCACCTAAACGTTTCGCAATCATATGATTAACAGGTTGAAAATAGAAAAGTGTAACAAGGAAAATGTGCAAGGAGAAGACAGTGACCTACATTGTACTTAAATATTAAAATGGGAATGAGATAGAAAAAAAGTACAGGTGTGGATAAAATGATTCCAGTGTCAGGGCCACCCACTGAAAGTGGGGCAGCCCCAGCTGGAGTGACTCACCGACTCTGTCCTGGTCGCCGGGGCAGACTGCACCAGGATCCGGGGCAGCGGCTGGGGAGACAAGTGTGCAGGTGAGAGATCCCAGAGCTTACAAACACTGCAGCAAGTGTGCACTGGGGCGGACTGGAAAGCCAGCAGGAGGACCCCACCTGCACAACTCTCAGGAACTCCAACAGACCCCTGCCAACGAGGACAGCAGAGGCCAGGGGCCAGGAAGCAAGGGCTTGTCCCCAGCCAGGAGATAAGTCACATGCACAAGTCACTAAGCATGCAGTGCACTCCCACACTCACCTGCCCTCTCTCAAATCACAAATGCATATGCTGATCAAGGGCTGTACTGTGCACAGAGGTGACACAAGACTTATATGGAGAAGTGACTAGAACAGGAAAGATCTAGAGAGACTTCAGGCAGGATCTGGAAGCCACCTTAAGCCTGAATGGCCAGGGAGCCCTCAAGGTAATGTGAGAGGAAGGAGTTAGAAGGAAGGAGTGAAAAGGAAGGAGGTCTCTGTTTGGTTATAGCATCATAGAATCAGTAAGGACATGAGGGCAGTCTCAGGTGTCTGAAACTAATTTAACTAAGTAGCAAAAAGGAGTCACCGGATTCCTAAGCAAAGAAAGCAGAACAGTTGGGTGAGGTGGCCCACACCTGTTATCCTACCTACTTGTGAGACAAAGATTGAGAGGACTGTGGTTTGATATCAGCCACATGCGCATCTGTCATCCCAGCTATGCAGGACAGCACAAATAGGAGCAACATGGTCCAGGTCTGCCTGGGCATAAAGTGAGACTCTATCTCCAAAACAGCCAACACAAAAAGAGCTGGCAGAGTGGCTCAAGTGGTAGAACACCTGCCTAGCAAGTATGAGGTCCTGAGTTCAACACACAGAACTGCCCAAAACAAGGCAGAAGACAGATGAAAAGCAGAAAGATTCATCTGCAGTGGAATGCAAATTGATTGGAGGAATATTTCAAGTCCAAGGAGATACATTAGTAAGGAGATCCCAGCAACAGAGCTGGTATGAGGTGAGAAGAGCCTGAATTATGGATATAAGTGGCATCACCAGGGAGAACTTCATTACTTATGGATTCAAGAAACATTAAAGAAAAGAAGCAAAAAAATTAACAGTGAGGATCTGGAAAGGGAAGTTGGAGAAAGGGGAAGCAATCAGAAATTCATTTTTTAACTGATAGATTTAAATGGAGGTGGAACACGGAAGCAGACAAAGATGCAACTATCTCTGGAAGAACCAGGAAGCTGCCATTTCTGCCATTGGCAGCTTACCATCTCTGGTTCCTCCTACGTCTCCCTTCTCCGGTGAAGGAGTCTGGACAGAGCCAGCTCTGCCTGCTCAGCCCTGAAGAGGGCAAAGGCAGGCACAGGATCAGCGTCTCTCTCCCTGTAGGGTCCACGAATGACCACTGGTCACTGCTCTATTAGACTCCATATCTGTAAGCTTCCTTCTTCTGGCTCTCAGTCATCCAGCTGCTTTGGTTCCCGCTGGTTGCTATGTGTTCCTGGGCCCTGAGGCATCTATGTAGTCAAGACTGTCTAGACAGAGCCTGCAGCCCCAAAACTAGACTGCCTCATCTTCCCTCCAGCCGGAGAACCAAACTCTCCTAAAGGGAGAAGAGCCTATCTGGAATAGGACACCCACCTAGCTGAGTGCTAACCTGACTGAACACTCCATTTTGGCAAAGATATCAACTTATGCTATGGGCTGGCTGCTTTTGGAACACAGGGGCCTCTGAGGATCGATTCTGCTGAAAGTGAGGGAACAGAGCAGGGTTTGAGATTAGGCAGAAGAAGGGGAATTGAGGAGACCATAAAAGAAATGGCTTAAAAGAATAGTAGGCTCTAGAGACAAGCTAAGGACACTTTACCCTGCAAACACTGGGAAGCTATGGGTAGTTAAAGCTTAAGGAAAGGTGGGATCAGTTATATGTTAAAGGAAAAAAATCTCTGTCAGCTATTCATCAGGTAAAGAATTAAAATCCAGATATACAAAGAGCTCAAAAAATCAAACACCAAAAGAATAATCCAATTAATGGGTTAATGAGCAAACAATTCTTAAAAGAAGTACAAAAGGCTATCAAATACATGAAGAAATGTTCAACATCCTCAGCTATAAAGGAAATGTACAAAACTGAGATTCCATCTCTCCTCAGTCTAAATGGTAACCATCAAGAAAAACAACAAGCCAGGCACTGGTGGTCCATGCCTGCAATCCTAGCTACTTAGGAGGTTGAGACTGGGAGGATCACAGTTCGAAGCCAGCTCCAGCAAATAGTTCGTAAGACTCCATCTCCAAAATAAACAGAGCAAAAATGAATTGGAGGTGTGGCTCAAGTGGTAGAGTGCCTGCTTTGTAAATGTGAAGCCCCAAGTTCAAACCCTAGGCCCACCAAAAAAAAAAAGAATGAAAGAAAAAACAACTAAAAACAGGGCTACCCTTGTGGTCCTGCTATACCACCTGAAGTGTACATCAATATACAATAGAGATACCGCCACAGTCATGTTTATATCAGCAATATTCACAATAGTCAACATTTAGAATCAGCCCAGGTGTCATCATCAATGAGTAAGGAAAACATGGTATACACAATGGAGTATTAGCCATACAGAATAAAAAATTATGTTGTCTGCAGAAAGTGATGTTGAGCAAGGTAAGCCAAGTTCAAAAAGCCAAACAGTCCATGTTTTTGCTCACATGTGGAAAGTAGACCTAAAATGATGGTGACAACAATGATGACAGAACATGAACAAAAAGGGGGGCTGTGGTGGCGGGGACCAGCGGGGAGGGAGAGGGAAAGGAGAAGGTGCTAGAAGGTGAACAAGATCGAAGTACATTATATGCATGTATGAAGACAGCATTAAGGACAGTCCCTAAATACTGTCTGGAAAAGGGGGTAGGAGCAGGGAAGGTTAAAAGTATAATAGAGGTGATGAATTTGATCACATGTTGGGAATAGAAATATCACAATAAAATCCCTTTATATGCTAACCTTATGCTAAGAAATAAATAACTGAAAAAGAAAGACAATGCCCGTGGTGAAGAGAGAGCAGTATGGCAACCCTGAAGGTGGTAACAGCTGACCTACAAGGTCCTCCAGCCACCTCAATTTCTGGACCAGGAAACAGTCTCCTCCACAACCCCACCTCAATCCTAGCACCCAGCCCTTTTCCTCAGGCCCTGAGAACAGGCAGTCTTCCTCCAACTTCACCACAGTCCAGGAGCAGACTGTGGTCTCTTGCAGTTTTTCCATAGTATCCAAAGTCCCTCACAAATGTGAAGGTGTTCAGAGTGTATTTGTCAGTAAAGGCAGAAAAAAGTTTCTCACACAAACACTCCAAAATACATTGGTCAGTTAGATCAGACCGAAAATGGACAAGATTGGGGTAAAGGCTCCTCTAAGTGGACACTTACCCCTGGAAAGGATGAAAATGTAGCAACCCCACAAAGATGGAATGGTGACTAACTAGGATGGACCTTTTCTAAAATGACACCATTCTGTCCTCCTAAACAGAGGACAGAAATGTGATCTACACTTTTCTTTATATGTCAGTAGGATTATAAAATCCAGTGGATGCTTCATAAATGTCTGCTGAAATGAACTTAATGGCTAGATTAACTATAGCCCTGGTTCTGTCTCTCAATGTATAAATCCAGCTCAACACAGACTCACCAGGTCTCATGGGGTACAGGCCTCATGCCCTGTGCCAGGCACAACACAAAGATGAGTGACTTTCAATCTCAAGGCCACTCTTTCCAGCTCCTAGGGAAGAGTGCCCACCCTATCCCACAGCTGCCCAACACTGGGCAGGGGGAAAAGGGGCTAAGGCTATGTGGAGGCTTTCTAAGCTTAATCACTCAATGAAGCAGCAATTAAGAATGATGCTTCAGAAAAGGAATCTTTAGGAAGGGGAGATACTAAATGTAGCAAGATCAACTAAGAATTTACTTTAGTGGTTCCAAGGAAATAGAAACAGAAATGAATGTTCAGAGTAAAAGGAGACAACTGCCACTTGGAGACAACTAACACTTGGAGACAACTGGCCATGGAAGCTGGGGATACAGAGTCAAACAAAGACAAAGCCCACAATGAGAGGGAGAGGGGAGACAGCACTGTGAACACAAATGTGTATTCTGTGGGGGAGAGGGAGGGGGTGGTGGAGAGTGAGCCCTGTGTGTGCCTGGAGGGCTGGGGGGTTACTGAACCGTCCATGTTGTCAATGGCCTGTGATGAACCCAGCAATCTTTAAAAGGATACCAAATGCATCTGGAAAGTATGCTGACATCTTAACTGAGCTGTTTCTCCTTCACACATAAGAGCTCAAGTTTGCAAATGCACATTGTTTGCATTTTCATGCTCTTTTGCATATCCCTGTGCAGGCCTTGCCTCTGTTTCAGGAGCTCAAAACATTTCAGCTCGTAAATTCATTAATCCTTAGGACACATCTGGTAACTATTAATAAAAATGACTGCAAAGTATTTGCAGCTATAAATACTAAGGAGAACTCCCATGAGACAAGTGAGGAGAAGTGCAATTATCTACATTTCACACTGCAGAGACCAAGGTTGAGAAAGCATCCCCCACTGCTAAACACGCAGTTGGCTGGAGCTGATGCCAGCAATGGGAAGGACCAAAGCCTCTACCCTGCGACGTCCACTGCGCAGTGCCCAGAGCTAACAGAGGCACATTAAGGCAGAACAGCTTGGGAACGTTGCAGGGAAATGGTGACTGTCACTTCTCGGATCATGCCTTGCCATTTGTTACTGGCTTTAACATGCCATATGAGTACTGGAGATCAGAATTTCCTCACCCAGCATAAGAGCTATTTTGGAGCTCCCCTGCCAACCCACAGACTCCAAACTCATGACACAGACGATGTCCATGAGGCTGTCCCTTGCCCTTCCTGTCACACCTCAATACTATGACCTTCTTGCCTACACTGTTTTCCAGGCCCTTCCCTCCCTGCACCATTCGTACTATAGAACTGTCACCTGACGACTAGCTCTTCACTGGTGAGTCTCAGCAAAAGCAGGACC